AATGGCTGGCTGCTTTAATTATTGAAAAGAAAGTTAAAACTTTTAAATGGTTAATGCTCTTTTAAAATTGTGGTTCTGTTTTTGTTTTTGTCCCTGAAAAAATTCCATGTGTTTCCAGTTTTGGTTTTTGTTCCATTAACTTTTTTGACAGCTTAATATGAGCTTAATATTGTTTATATGACCATATTACTTTTTAGTTCCGTAATTTACAATAACATATTGTTATCGTTATGTACCATAGCTGTTAAATCTGCTATGCATCAAATCAAGCAGCTTTTCATTTTCCAATGAAATCAAGGAGAGATAGAAGCTGAATCTAAACAAGGGAAGTCACTTTTCTGCAGAGGCACCACAGCCCACAATAGGGGAATGGGTGTTTTAATACACGCACTCACTTTTTTGAATTAATATTTAAACTCCCACATCTTTCCATCATTTTTCACTAAAAGAAATTCAAAATATTTAAAGCATTTGTGTTCCGAGACCACAAGCCTTGTAGCAATTATAAGCTCATGAAGTAATCTTGCTATGGTTTGTCCAGTCCTGGCCCACACCTGGTCACTTTGTGTTAAATCTAAACAAAATAAATGTGTTTAAACACATATGAAATTGTAAATGTTGAGGTAATGGTAACATTGCATAAGAAATCTGCTCCGTTGTACTTAGCTTGTGTAGATTCTCTAGATATGACTTAAAGAGGTTTCCAGCACCTGTGGCAGAGGGATGCTGTTGAACAATGAGAGATGTGTTGGTGAGAGACTGGAAACCCAAGAGAGAGCTGAGGAATGGCTGACAGAGCGTTTGACAGAGAGGAATGTGTTTACTCAGGTTCAGGGCTAGCCAAGAGGTGCTCTCTATCGTTCAGTCTCACTAGCAAAATGTATACTGTCTTATAAGACGGGGTGAGTCGACAAGGTCTTCAGCACAGGGGTTGCCCATGCCCCATTGAGTTTAGCTTCATGCCGTCAACCTCCATTGGTTTTCTGAAACCTGCTGATCGTTGTAGCTGCAATGCTGTGCACCAGTGAAAGGAGTGTGAAATGCATCGCAGTATCTGGGTTTTTAGGTTCCTATTAGGTATTGACCTACAAGTCCCTACTGGGCAATTGAAAACGTGGCCATAGCAAAGTTATGAAAGTCATGACTGAAAGTTAACCACTCCTCAACACTTTTTATGGTTAAGCTTTAAAAATGCTTTATTTGCTGCAAAACGCGTGAGTATTTTAACATAGATGTCAATAAGAATCTGCTCACTTCCGACACCAGCCTCAAGTGGACAGTCAAAGAATTGCAGTTTCCGTTGTTTCATATTTTGCGTCCGAATTGAAAATGCGAGGTTTAGGTAGGAGTTCTTCCCACTTGTGAATCTTTCCCCCTCGCCTACATCTCTCATCCACGCCCCCGTTTCCTTTTAACACCCTCCTGTCCTGATGTAATTAATGCAAATTGGTCCTTGGGATAAAAAAAATAATAATAATAACTACATAAATTCACTACTTCCATCCAGAGGAAGAAATACCACACCAGGTGTACACTACAATGCAGATATCAAAACTGTCCAACTCAAACGAAGCACCTAGTGCCTCATGTGTTGGCTTTTGAGCAGGACAGGACTAGGTAAAACCAAAATAAAAAAAAAAATGAAAATGGAAGATTGTGACTTGATGAATTTTCCACCCCACATTTAACTCTGGCTTCCATGCAATATGTTTAATCTAAATGCAAAAAGAATCAAACTGCTTGGCCGGGTTTTTTTTTTTGTCACCTAAATATGCTCTAAAGGTGCTTTTTGTGTTCAAAAATATTGATAACAGCTTTATATTTGCTGGAGCTCTCTATGTGAAGCTTTCATGGTACAAATCTCTCATCTGTGCATCCCATTTGGATGAGTTTATGAACAATTTTTGAACAAAATAATGCAAGCCACTGGTGTCTGAGCACCTTCTTTATGTTATCATTAAGAAATATAGTATATAGATAGCTACAGGACAGTAGCTATAGTTTCAAAAGTAAACTATATCAAGAAGAAGAGATCTGACTCCAGCAAAGCTGTGTCTCGTCCAGGTTTATGCAGGATTGCATTGAATTTCTGCTTTTTTTTCCTCTGCAGGATGACAAGGATCTGGTGCATGAGTTTGTGATGGCCGAGGGACTCACGTGTCTCATTAAAGTAGGAGCCGAGGCTGATCAGAACTACCAGAACTACATTCTCAGAGGTACAAACCGAATCCTCACTAGCTAATGTTTTGAGATGAGCATTATGAATGATTTTTAATGCAATTCTTAATGCTTTGTACACATGTTGATTCTATCAGGAGATTGGTTTTCACATCATATCTCTGTCTGAGTATGAGATACACAATATTGATTGTAATGAATCAAAGAAAATAATATTAGAAAGGCAAGTTTAATGTTGCCACAAGAAAGAATTTGATTATGAAAGCTCTTATTTTACATAATGCTCTTCTAATGCTGTTTAAATACACTGCAGTCATTTATACAGTTATCAATAGTTATTGTGTAAACTATAGTTTTAATTGATTTATTATGTGAGGAGACCGATGGAAAATAAGAAGTGTACTTCTAATAAATTAATTGCTAGTTGGGATTTGTTAACAGATTGTTAATATAAATGTAGTTTTAATATTAAATGTAGTTTATTTTAATTTAAGGCCATTATCAGGCCTAGGTGCAAAATAAAAACTATATTCTTGTTTATTGTGTTATGGGGCCAGGTGGAAAATTAGAGGTATAGTTCTAATTGTTTTTCAGTATTTATTTGTGTTATAGAAGCCAGATTGTTCTATTATAAAAATATACAGTTCTAATTGTGGTCGGCCCTGTGGCGCAGTGTGTAGCACTCCAGCTGTCCAGGAGGTTGACGGTTTGAGGAGTTTGCATGTTCTTTCCCCACAATCTCAAAAACATGTGGTTAGGTTAACTGAATAATTTAAAATGTGAATGTTGCCCTGCGATGGACTGGCGACCTGTCCAGGGTGTACCCCCGCCTCTCGCCCAATGTGCGCTGGGGATAGGCACCGGCAGACCCCTGTGACCCCACAAGGGAACAAGCGGGTTGGAAAATGAATGAATAAGTTCTAATTGTTTTTTTGTGGTGTAAAGATTACTTACTTTTACTTGAGTATTATATTTCAGTAAAGTGTCTGTTCTAAATACAACTCAATGTACTTTTCTAAAACTACTCGAGTAGTGAGTAGTGAGTATCACATCAGAGCCATTTTCATAAAGGGTTTGAGATAGAAATAGAGAAGAGGTAAAGAGAGAAAGAGAAGAAACAGAAAGAGCAAGAGAGAGAGAAAGAAAATTGATAGTGAGAAAAAAGATAAGGGAAAATGACAGATGGATAGCATTAAGAAGATGTGAGTGAGCTGGAGGTAAAAGACAGGAGAGAGAGGAAGAGAGAGAAATAGAAGAGAGATGGATAGATTGAAAAGAGACAATACAAGATAAAAATATAGGAGAATGAAATATGAAGAGAGAGAGAAAGAGAAAAATAGAAAGCAAAGAAAATAGAAGAGAGAAAGCGAGAGGCCAAAAAGAGTGGAGCAAGAACGAAATAGAGAGAACAAGAGAGAGAGAGAGAAAAGTGATATAGAGAGCTCAAAACAGTAGAAAGACTGCAGAAAAAGAGAGAATGCGAAAGAATAACTGCTTAATAAATAAACATCCAACTATTTTCCTGGCGATTGAAACGATAAAAGAAAAGAAACGAGTTGTGCCTGCAAAATTATTTCTATTTCTACTGATTGTATTGATGTGAGAGTATTGGATAGATCTCATTTTTGGGGGATCGTTTCTTTATACGCAATTTGATTGGACGGAAGAGGTGCCAATCCCTGAAGAAGAAGAAAAATAAATAAATAAAGCAGTTAAGGCAGGTTCAAAAAAGTAGTGCAGTAAAAGTACAGCTACAGAGCTAGAAATGTACTCAAGTAAAAGTAAAAGTATTCATTTTTAAATTACAATTTCTGACAAAAAACTACTCAATTACAGTAGTTTGAGCGTTTGTAATTAGTTACTTTACACCACTGGGTATATAGTAAAGATAGAAAATTAGAACTTTTGTTTTAATTGTTTTATTGCATCATAGGAGAGAGCCGGAAAGTAAGAACTATCTTATTCTTATTATATTACTATCTTTAACACAAACAAACTATAAACTATAAGTTTGTTTGTGTTATAAGTGCCAGATTGTTGATAAAAAAATATAGTTTTAACAGTTTTTTTTTGTATTATAGACATCAGATGGAAAATAACAACAATACTTCTAATTGTTTAATTGTATTAATACGATGTAAGTGGTGCTATCTAGGTTTTTAGCAATCTGTTAGCAATGGAACTAATGTACAATCTTTTTTCCATCTGTGTCTGTAACAAAATAACAAAACCTATTTTAACCAAATGCTTTTTTTTATCTTCATTTGTGTGTGGGTGTTGGGGCTCCTTGTAATGGTTAAACCCTGTTAAGCACATCTTAAGGACTCCTGGAAGCACCATACGTGTTCTAGCTGTGCTCCAAACATCTTCCGTGCTGGATAATAAACAGCTAATAAAGCTGTGAATGTCCTCTTCCCATCAGAGGCAGGAGACAGGGGCCTTGTTGAAATTCGCTTTACGATCTGCAACATCCTGCAGAGTGGTTTTACTGTTGGTTTAACGCGTGAGGTATGCCCTCTTGCAGCAGGCTGTGAAAGTGGGTGACCTGCAGAGGAAGCTCTTAGCGCCCTGTTAACATGGCTGACCTCTGACCTCTGGTGTATGGAGATGGTAAATCAGGCTGGTGTGCAACAGTAGTATTAGAGTTCCTTCAAAACTGTGTCAAAGTGAAGAATTGAAGGCCAAATGTTGGTCAGATTTAAACTCACTGCATTTCATTGATGCAAACAACTGATTAAGTTTTGAAAGCATTCTTTGTTTAAACCTTTTTTACATCTACGAATTTTGTACAGTACTAAATGTGAAATATATACAATTTTTGCTTTCCTGTGGCTTAGTTGATAGAGCATTGCGCTAACAACACAAAGGTCATGGGTTCAATTTCTCCTTGGGAAAATAAACCTAGAATCCCCTCATATTTTCTATGATCTCGGTCTTGTTACGGACCCATCAATCTCGGTCTCTCTCTTGTCATGGCCTCTGTGTTCTCTGAATCATTTTGGTCTTGAGAGTCTCTGATCTCAGTCTTGTCACAGTCTGACTGTCTGTGATCTCAGTATCGTCTCAGTCTTGACTATCCCTGATCTAAGTCTTGTAATGGTCTTGACTCTCTGTGATCTCGGTATTGTCTCAGTCTTGGCTGTCTCTGAACTCGGTCTTGTCATGGTCTCGACTCCCTGTGATCTCGTTATTGTCTCTGTCTTGAGTGTCTCTGATCTCGGGCTTGTCACTGTCTCGACTCTCTGTGATCTCATTATTGTCTCAGTCTCGAGTGTCTCTGATCTCGGGCTTGTCACTGTCTCGACTCCATTTGATCTTGTTATTGTCTCTGTCTCGAGTGTCTCTGATCTTGGTCTGGTCATGGTCTTGACCCTCTGTGATCTCTGTATTGTTTTGGTCTCGAGTGTTTCTGATCTCAGTCTTGTCACAGTCTCGACTGTCCATGATCTCGGTATCGTCTCAGTCTCGGCTGTCTCTGATCTCGATCTTGTCTCTGTCTCGACTCTCTGTGATCTTGGTAGCATCTCAGCCTCAACTGTCTCTGATCTTTAGTCTTGTCGTGGTCTCAACTTGACTCTCTGTGATCTCGGTATCGTCTCGGTCTTGATTGTCTCTGATCTCGGTTTTGGCTGCACAGGTGTACTGGTGATTTTACTCCAAGAATAAAAGGCAAGCCCCAATTGCTTTTTTCAAATAAAAATATATTATAGCCTTTTTTTTCGCACCTCTCTTCAATTATACCATTCAGCATCATGAAATCACGTTTTTTCAAAACAAGCAACAACTTATTTTCTCACCAACAACGTAGGCCATTTCATTAGTCACACTCCAGTAGAGATTCAGAGAACAACCTTGGTCTTGTCTTGATCTCGGCTTGGGTCTTGGTCTCGGTCAAGGTGGTCTTCACTACAAGACTAGAAAGATTGCTGGTTTTGTTCCTAGTCTCAGGGGCTGATTTAAACTCTAAATGCTGATGTTTAGAGTGGGACTGGGCTTGTGTGATTTACAGCCTCGACAGCGGCTCTACAACCCAACAGCAATGCTTCACGTGGCTCCTCACAGCGTTATATTTCAGAATGGAAATGGATATAGAACATCTGTGGGGCCGTCTGCTACAACACTTGCTGTCTTCTCAGAGTTAAAGAGGTGTTTTTCACAATGCGTCCAGGCCGTCAGTTAGCACCTGAGGTGAATCTAAAAGTGAAAAGTGAGGTTTATCCTTTGACTTCTAGTTTCCTGATTCATGCTGTTCTTGTGCTTTTCTGAAGGCTGCCTTCGAGTCTGAGCAACAATGTGCACCTGATCCGGTTTTATCAAATGAATAAACCTGTTGAGTTGTCTTCTGTTGGCTTTGCTGAAGTCTGGATTGGAGTGCATTTCACTGTGTTTATTCTTAATCAGAGCTAGAGCCACATGGATACAAACAAGTCATTGATTAACATGCTAAACACTCATCTGGGTCTGAAAGAAAAAGAATGAGATATGCAATTGGACCATGATGATGATGATAGCAAGCTGTCAATCATCAGCTGTTTGTTTACTATATTTGCATCATCATAAATGAGTTTGTTTGGAAGGGAAAGGTCATCTTTCAGTTTCCATCACAAGGAAAATGAGCATAAGCTTTGCAATTCTGGTACCACCAACATTCTTGTACCACTACTGAGAACTTGTGTAAATCTACTTGAGCTCTGTGTGTTTTAAAGATTGAATATAAAGCATAAAACACTTTCAATTCTATTTATTTCCATTCAAATTCTTCTCTGGAGTTTAGGAGTGTTGAGTGACTCAAAGTGATATTGCAGCCATTTGCCCTCAGATTGTGTAAATTCATGATGTCTCCAACCCTGACTAGTGACTCTCTGTTGAGAGGCGGGAACATGGCAAACAAGCCTTTGGAACCTATGTCTGTGAGCCGTGATGGTGGGCTTGGTTTTTGTTACTGCACCATATCAAACTTTTAAGGAACTTACCTTCTGAACCAGACATTGTGGAGGATTCCCTTGTTCACCAAAGTGGATGCGTGACAGCTGATGATACAAGTTTGTTTTTCTAACAAATATTCTTATGTTACAGTCTGTTTAAATACTGGATTCTGATTGGCTGGCAGGTGTTGAGTAAGGATACACCTACCTGAATAGATCTGGGTCGGTTATTACTTTAAATCACTGCTACAACTTTACATATTTGCTTAACAAGACTTATTTTCATTCTGTTCATGTTTTTGTACGTATACGGTCAGCATTTACACAATTCCTCATTTATCGAAAACCTGGGAGACACAAGATCCCATGAGTAGAGGCCAGGTCACTACTAAAGCAAGTTTAAATCGGACAAGTTTTACAAGGTCAGCAGCGTTTAAGACTATTTAATGTTTTCAATCACACTTCCTGCATTGACTTTAAGAACAATAACAGCCGTTCAGAGTTTGTTAAACCGATCCAGATCTTCTCTTGGGAGAGTATGGCATGTGCTGGTGAGATAAGGCAGTGCTTCTCCTGCTGTCTCTTTGGAGCATCTAGGGGACGGTGACAACAGAACGATCGGCCTGAGATTTCATAGCCATCACTCCCAGCCAAGAGCATGAAAACACATGGAGGAGCTGGGACTGTGCCACAGCATAAATCTGGTCTAATACCTTCCATCTCCATACCTGATGGACTCTGCTTGAGACAAGTATGTTCAGCTTAGAGAAGGAAATGACAAATTGGATGGACAAGGCTAGACTGGTGACTATGTGCAATAGACTTTTGGAGCCTGCAGGAAGTTTGAGATGAAATGATTCGAGGTATTTAGCAGTTCTCAGCGTGGTTTTGTTATATTTTATAGCTGGACTCATTCTAGCCCCTGCTAAATGCACCAAATTAGTGTTCCTCTGTGGCGGCAGGAGGCCATAACCCCATCACAGACTCCTGCAAGTTCTACAAGTCCACCAGAGAGAGATCAACCCAGAAAGATCCTACAAGAGAGAGGAGGATGCTAGAATTAGCCGGGCGCTCACAGCACGAGTTTGTTTATCACTTCCTTTCTGACGACAGAGTTATGAAGTGCACTAGTGCACTGTTAACTTCAGCAGACATCTTTGTTGGTCCCCGGTGTCCCTGAAAGCTGGTTTTGGCCCTCAACCCTCAACGCAAGTCATCTTCAGGGTGGTTAAAAGCTAGCTCAGGCAAAAATAAACAGCTGAAAAATGATAATGAAATGAATTTAGGGGTTAAAGTTCATGAGTTGCTTTCCTGAATTCTACCATTCAAGCCATGGATTAGTGATTCAGTTACAAACAACTGTTTCATTTTGTCTGAAACAAGGAAAAAAGAATATACTTAGATACAGAAGAAGAAGAAGCTGAAAAAACGAAGAAGGAGCAGAAAAGAAGGAGAAGCAGTTGACCAATAAGCAGAGGCAGAAGACAAAGAAGAAATGGAAGTCAAAGAAAGCAACAGAAAAAACAGAAGAAAAAGAAAAAGAAGCAGCAGAAGAAGAATAAGCAAAATAAGGAGAAGAAGAGGAAGAACAGCAGAAGAAGTAGAAGAAAATAAGAAGAAACAGAAAAAGAAGAAGCCATAAAAGATGATGAAGAAGAAAAAATCCATGTAAAAAAGAAGTAGAAGAAGAAGAAAAAAGAGGAAACAGAAGTAGGAACAGAAGAAAAAAAGAAGAAACAGAAAAAGATGAAGAAGAAGAAGAAAAAATACAAGTAAAAGAGAAGAAGAAGAAAAAGATGATACATTTTTCTCATATTCGTTGCTTGGCCCTTAATCTTTGTAGAGAAACTATAAAATTGTAGACAAATATAAGTATGTGGCCACACTATTTGACCCTACGTTACTTTGAAATACCAAAAAGTTCATAAGCTGATCCAAGGTTGAATAGACCTCTTTTGTACCTCTTAAGGTGGGAGACCGATTTAAAATTGAAAAAGGTTTTTATTATTTTTAAATGTTTTTTTTTGCTTGTGTTTAGTGAGTAGCCTGTTACTGCAAACTTCCTCGGCACCCGTACGGGAGCTCTAGGAACGTCACATTTCTTGAAGAATGTGTTTTAAATAATAATTCTTAGCTCTCTAAACTGACAAAGAAAAGCAAAAGCAGAGCCTTCTGATGCCGAGACGGCTGTTGGGTTATCAAACTCTCTGTGGCTTGAGCTCTGGCCGAGAGAGACCGAGATGAATCAGGCCAAGGCTCCGGGTGACTTTAAATCAAGTTTAGGCCAAAGAAGTGCTCCCCTACCGGCCCTAAGTCTCCCACAGCCCATCCAGCTTTCATACAGATGTTTACGCAGAAGAGATTCATGATGATGATGTTTCTGTGCGGTGTTGTTTTTCAAAGATGCCGTGGCAGTGGATTTGACTGTAAACGTTTCTGTTCGCTTCACACAAAATGATTCATTATAAACACCTCACCACCAGAGTCAATTTCACAGCGTCGCTTTGGTTTCGTCATAGCCTTTGGATGTAGAAATCACAGTCGCTACTACAGCCATAAAGGAACTGAATGGCAATGTAGATATAGCTAGAAGGAGATTTTAATCTGTAGTTTTCCCTCCGACAGCACCTCCTGCCGATGTTTTATTCAGATTAAAATAGTTATTATTAACCGTTTCAAGTCTGGGGCCTTTTGGGGTGTTTTACTACTTTATAATTTACTCTATTAAGTGATCTTTAAAACCATTTTTGAGACAATGCTTTATATATTTTTTTTAAATGCAACCGCAGTTTCTTTTTGTAACATTATTTAAAATTGTGTCATTTTTTTTAACTGCCAAAATTGAGAAAGAACAGTTTTAATGTTGTATAACAAAAATAAAATAAAAAAGCAATGTAAAAAAAATAAATCACTGCTCTTTTTCTAACTGAATGTTGAAAAATACAAGCCATATCACAGATATTGTACTTCT